AAACTCTCCTTCATCTGGCTGCATGCAGCTCTGGAGCTGGGAATTTGGGCCTGGAAGGTGCTGCTGCCCAAAGGACAGGTCAGGGATGCCCAACACCAGGGTAACCCACACTGCCCACATAGGAGGGTCCAGGACACGATGCCATAATCAGAATTACTTTACCCACAGAGATCTCCCCTCCCCTTCCCTCTGCTGGGATGGGTGAAGCTGCAGGAACTCCTTGAGCTGCTCCCAGGGGTGGCTGGGCTATTTCATGGCTTTCCAGCCTTTAATTTGGAAGGAAGGGAAAGGCCATCTGGTCAGGTGGGCTATTTCTGTGACATTGGGTTCTTCCATTAGGAAAAAAAAAGAAAGTTTTTGCCTCTCTGTCCCCATGGGCATCACGTGGCCAAGTTCCCTTTGGAGACATCCAAAATAAAGCAGATGAGATTTGCAAGTATAGGCAAAAACTTCATGAAGGCAAAACCTCCAAAGGAGGAAAAACTCCCAAAGAGAACCATGAAAACCCCCAAATGGCTTCAGCTACAGCAGAGAAACACCTGGGTGGTTACAGGATATTTTCTCAGGGAAGAGGAACTGGCTTGAACTGAAGCAGCTGAGATTTGTGTGAGAAACCCTTCGGGAGCCAGGGATGCTCCAGAGGGCCCTGGGAAGGAAAAACTCCTGGAAGTGTTACAGCAAATCCCCTGTGCAAACCCAGATGGAGCCACTGCAGGAGCAGGAACAGCTGCCAAGAGAGAGCCTGGAGAGCTGCACGTGGCCTGGGGGGCTCTGCAGCCCCAGGGACTGAGGAGGAGGATGCTGGAGGAAGCCAGGCTGAGCTCCTGCACGTGCAGAGGCTCCCAGAGGGGCTGGAAAGCACAAACAGCTCCATGAAACAGCAAAGGGGCCTCTGTGGGCACCCCAGGACCCCACAGCATGATCCACCAGGGAACAATGAGAGACATCAAGGGCATCCCAGCAAGGGTGTCCCAGTCCCTGGGCACCATGAGTTAGTGATGGTGATGCTCCCCAGAGCTGTGCTGGCCACAGCTCTGCCCAGCCACCTCCTGCTCCTGCCACAGGAGCTGGGCAGCTGCAAAATCAGATCAACCCTGCTCTAGGAGAAGGGACCGGGTCTCTGGAGGTGCCTGGTGGATCTGGACAGCTCTGGAGCTCCTTGTGGATTATTTACCCAGCTCCACATGCTGCCAACCAAAATAAATCAATTCAGCTTTTGCTTCCATTTTAGGAAAATAAATCCTCTGGGACAGGCTGGGAGCTGGTGCCCTGCTGGGAGCCACGTGCTCCCCATCCCAGCCCTGGTGGGATGCAAGCAGGACTCGGAACCCCTTGGGCCCAGTGCCCCATGTCCCTGCCTTGCAGGGGGCAGGTGGTGCTCCACAGCTCCCTCAGCAGCTTGGGACAGACAGCAGGACACAGGCAGGAGCTTTACTGAGCCTCCTGCCACCCAGCTGCCTGCAGAGCTCTCCCACGGCTCGGGTGACCTTTTCCTTATCTCCTCACGTCCTTCAGCCCCTCACAGTTGGAGCAGCAGGTCCTGCAAGGGCAGTTTCCCATGATGTAGCCCCTTATCTCATGGTGCTGAGCCCTCCCCACCAGCCCATTCCAGCCCCGTGTTGGCAGCACTGGGAATCACCTGCTTGTGCTGCGGGAGGGATCACCAAAAATTTAACCCAAACCAAAAAAAGCTGCATGGACCCACATTTCCCTCCAGCTGCCCAGGAGAGCTTTGCTGGCACTCCTCAAAAGGAACCTTGCAAGCTCATGGTCCTGAGATGCACCAGGAAGTGCTGGATTTCCTCCTCAGCCCCAAGCCCAGAACTGCTCTCCTGGAACAGGCATTCTCCTTTCTCCTGCCCCACCAGTTACAAAGTGCCCAGCATTCAACTACTTAATCCCACCAGCTCCTTCAGATGTGGCTGTGTATTTGATCAGAAGTGGCTTCTTAGAAAGAAAAGAAAATAAAATCTTCCAAGCACCTGCCCCTGTCCCCTCCATCCAGGATGCTGTGTTGGCAGCATCAGTGCTGCTCCAAGAGCAGCATGAGAAAGGCCAGATTAGGATGGTTCCTCTGTCTCCTTCAGCAGTGAAAATCATTTGGATGATGTGGATTTTGGTGAGTCTAATGCTGCTCCAGGAGAAAAAAGGGAGCACTGTCCTCCTGGAATGAGTGGGATAGTGCTGCTGGGCTGCCCAGTGTGAATTGCTGATAATCACAGCCCTGCCCTTTCTGCCTTGAGTGACAGAGGTCCCAAAATGCAGAGCCAGGATCTCAGCCCCTTTTGGGCTCCCTCAGGCAGCCCCAGGGTCAGAGCCACCCACAGGATGCCCACTCCTCCCTGCTGGAGGAGCCTGCACCAGGCCTGTCCCTTAGAGCTGCTTCTAAGCCATGAGCCACGATGTGATCTGACACACCTGATGGGCTAGAACTGCTCCAATCCCACACATGTGATGTCACTGCAGAGTGGCCTCCACTGCTCTGTGCTGTGGGGCTGGAGACTCCAAACCCACACCTCACACACGAGGGAGGGTGAGCAAACTGCTCCCAGCGCCCAGCAGCCCCAGCTCTGCTCCTCCTGGAACCCCAGAAAGGCACAGATCCCACTCCCTCCCCTCAGACACAGGGGAGAGGCTGGTGCAGAAGTGCCCCAGTGTTTCCAAACCAATTTTTGCATTTGCAGAAACACCACCAGGGATTATTTGTTTTAAACCTCCTTTGCAGGGATAATCAGATCATACTTGAAAAGAGCCTCAGGATCTCCAGTGACAATTATTTCATTAGGATGTGATACTCCAGACCATCCAAGAGCTTAGGAAGCTGCTGTCTGCACAGGCCCAAGCACGCTGCCCATGGAAGAGGTCCTTAGTGCTAATTGCCAATGCCAACCCCAGCCATTAGGAAATTATTGCTAATGCAGCTGACAACAGCTTTTATAAGACTCTATTAAGGAATTCATCAGAAAGCAGAACCAAATAAAGCAAAAAGCTATTAAAGAAAAACAAAACTCACCCCCAAACTGCAGGATCAGCAGGAACAAGAAGCAGGAGCTGTTGTGTGAGTGCAGCAGCCCCAAAGCTGAGCCTGGAGCTCCCTTTGTCCCAGCACTGCTGTTGCATCAGCCTGGGGCCCTCCCCAAATACCCTGGGATGGGAGAGTGGCTCAGCTGTGGCTCATTCCCCCCTGGCAGCTCCCTATGGAGTCACAGCTGATCCCCTGCACCTGCAGCCCTGCTCAGGGAACCATCCTGTGCCAGGATGTGGGTGCAGGGGCCTCCAGCCAGGGTGCTGAGCCTGAGTGTGTCCCCAGGAACCCCTGGGCTCCTTCTGGGAAAGGGGAAAAAACTGAGGCTGGGTCTGGGGATATTTTTTCAAAAGTCTGATAAAAATAACTCTCTGAAGGGGTGAGGAAGAGGAAGGACAATTTGTGCAGGAGAGGAGGTGTCACCCACAGGGCCTGACAGCTCCAAGTGGCACAAGGACAAAGGGCTGGAGCAGTGACTCATGACTTTTTGGCGTTCTATGCCGGTGTGGGTATCACATTTCAGGGATTATATTTTATTCATAAAAATTGCTGTGCTCACAGCCCTGCCTGGCAGAGCCAGAGAGGCTGAGCTTGGGGCTGGCTGTGCTCTGCACCATTTTGAGGGAGGGAGGGGGGTCCCAGCTCTGGAAGAGCTGCTGGATGTTAAATATAATCTGCACAGCTGGGTGAGAGTGCCCAGGCTCCCCTGCACGACCTGGCCTGTGGGTGCCTTGGTGGCACGAGGTGCTGGGCCAGGGTTTGCAGCACGTGGTGGGTGTTGTTGGTAACCACCTCCCAGAGGAGCCAGAGCAAACATGTGAGGCTGTATTTTTAACTCTGAGCTCCTGGTGACATGGAAAACTGGGTGCCTGGCCCAGGTGCTGCACAGATTGATGGAAAATTTCCTGCCTCCCATCGGCAGCTGGGCTTTGCTAAGCCCAGGCACTGCAGTGGGTTAGCAAATGGGGCTTTGCCCCCAGGAATGGTTTTAAGGCTGTGCCCAGAACCCAGCAGACACCATTTGCCATTCCACTGGGAAGTGCTTCCCTGTGGAGCTACAGGTGGGGAGCTGGCATGGAGGGGTGGAAGTGGGGATGAGGCAAACCCAACTTTCCCAACTCACAGCCTGGTTTAGCATCCCCAAGCAGGAAGAACATTTTCAACCCCCTGAGGGGTGAGGCCGGGATGAGCCCATGGTCCTTGCCAGGCCCCATTGTTAGCTGGGACTTGGAATTCCCCCATTGCTGCAGGCATCCCACACATCTCTCTTGTCCTTGCCTTCATGGGATGACCTGTGCCAAGCTGGGAGGTGGCACACGGTGACATTCCCCTCGTCCCCAGCACCCTCCCGCAGCCCTGCATCCGCCCCAACGGCTCAGCCGAGACAAGCAGAGGCTAAGAACATCAACTGGGTTTTATTCCTCAGGTCTGACAAGTAAAAGCACAAATTCTCTTTGGAAATAAGGAAAAAAAAACCAACACCAAAACCCCAAACCAACGTTCAAAGCACGCAGACCGTTTCTCAGGATGGAGGCCACGCCGCCAGACGCGTGTCCTTCGCAGAGATGTAATTTAAAAAAAAAAAAAAACACCAACTCATGGAGGAGGAAAGACACAGAGCTACAAGTTTCCATGTCAATTATAAAGAAAAAAACAGGCCCTTTTTTTTTTACTATTGTTATAAATATCCCATCCGAGCGACTCGGAACAAACAATGACCATAAGGAGGAGCATCCTTTCTGCTTGGCCCCGTGGGCACAACATCTCTAGCGGCACCTCAGAGTGCCAGAAGCCCTCGGGGGCGGTGGCCTGGCACCCGGTGCGTGCCCCGGCTCTCGGCGGGGGTGGCGGGTGCTGCCATCCCTGCGAGCGAGCGGCACCCGTCACCCTTGCCCGAGGCTGTCAGGACGCCGCGCCGCAGGGACCGGGGAGCGGGGGAAGGGGACAAAGGGACGGGGGTGCCGGGGCTGCCGGCTCAGGTGCAGGTGGCCTCCTGGCTCTCGACGGGGATCTCGCTGCCGCTGCTGCCCTCGCCGTACTGCTGGTAAGGGGGGATCTGGGGCGCCTCGATGATCAGCAGCCCCTCCGGGGACAAGGAGGCGAACACCGTGATGGGATCCACCTCGTAGGGCAGCCTGCAGGGGGGCAGGAAGGACAGGATGGGTTAGGATGCTGCATCCCCGGTGGATGCCGACCCTTGGAGCCCCAGCGGTGCCGAGGCAGCAGCCCCGGCAAAGCCTCTGTTATTACTGGAGCGCCTGGGAATGTGCGGGGGATATTTCGAGCGGGCTCCTGGCCGGCCTGGCCCCCGTGGGAGCTCTGTTTAATCTCCCCGGCAGATGTGTTTGACGGGATGTCAGCGCCGCGCGGGGCAGGAGTAAATCCCGGCCAGCCTTGCCCGTAAAAGGAGCCCGAGCGCCCGGCAGGAGCGAGCGGGGCTCGGCCCAGCCTTCCCGTGGGAGTTCGGGACGCACAGCGCTCCCCCAGGGTGGAAAAGCAAAGCGGAGCCGCTGCCAGCCGAGGAAACCCTTCCCATGCCCTGGGCTTTGATGCTTTTCGCTGTTAACCCCGTGCGAGCCCCGCGGCTGGGACCTGCCCCCCACATCGGTCGGGGCTCGCCTTTGCGGTTGTTGTTGCCAAAGCGGCTGAGTCACCGCGATAGCGATCGCACTGACATCATGGAGATGCGGGGATGTGCCGCGATGGAGCCCGCCCGCCGTGCCCCGCTGCTCCCCGGGATCGCCTCCTCCCCGCTCCCCTCCTGTCCGCAGCCCCGGGCGGGCAGAGACTGACAGAGCGCCTCAAAAAAGGCCTCGTCCTCCTTCCCTTCCCTTGGGAAATCGCTCTGTGGCCCGGCCCGGCCAGGCAGGTGCTGCAGAAGGGCAGATTTTGGGGTGGAAACAGTCCCTGCGTGTGTGGGACTGGCAGACCTCGGCCGGACCAGCCGGTACCTACTGGATTTTCTTGGTGAAGTTCTTGGAGACGATCCCTCCTTCCACCTGCTGCTCCTCGTGTTTGCCTGCAGGGAAGGCCAACACCCCACATCAGCACCTCAGCAGGAGATTATTTTTTCCCCAACAAACAACAACAACAACTGAACCCAACAGGAGAGTTCTCCGAGCAGCTGTTTCCCTGCCCCAGTGCAAACTCTTTCTCTGGGGAGGGCTCAGGAAGCCTCTCCATGTGGGGAAGGAGATGCTAGAAACAGCACAGCCACATTTCCAGTGGAAAACTGGGGTCTCAGAGGCTGCCAAGAGCTTGGGCTTAAGAAAATAAACAAATAATAAAACCATTGTAGGTGGCAGCATCCCCCTTGGCCTCACTCCCCAGAACGGGCTGCTTTGCACCCCTCTGTCAGGCTGGGGGTCCCTGTACCTGGAGCATCAGCCTGAGGTGCCTGGACCCCCCTGACCTGTGGCTTTCCCCCTGTGCTGCAGTGAGTTCCAAACAAACACTCAGAGCTGTGCAGGTGGCAGCCCCCAGCCCTCCCTGGTGATCCCAGCCCAGCAGACCAGGGACAATGGGGAATGTCAGCGCCAGGCTGATGGGACACTGAGGGCAGTCGTGGGCACCCCAAAAGTGCTGGACCCCACACCCACTGTTCCCGACATTAATTGACATTTCAGGGATGTGTTTCTGGCTAACTCAGAGCCAGGCTGGGCTGGGGGCTGTGAGCAGCTGCTCCTTTCCTCCCAGCCTCTCCCTCGGCCCCTTTAAAGGGAATCTCCCTGCGTGCCGACCTCACCCTGGCTATAATTAACCGAGCAGAGCTGGGGCCCCTCTTGGCTGCTGGCTCAGGGTGCTGCCAGCCAGGGCAGAAAGCAGGGAGATCTACCCCAAAGGACACGTGTCCTTTCTCATTTTGGCAGCAAACCACCACGGCTTGTGAGCCAGATCCTCCCTGTGACACCCAAACTGCCTCCGGAGATGCCCCAAAGCCCTGCTGCAGCCCTCTCAAGCTCCCAAGCACGGGGCTGCTGCCGCCGCCTTAAAACAAAGGCGATTTGGGCATTTTGCAGCAATTCCTTGAGCTGGCAGTGCCACCTCCCCGGTGCCCTGGCTCTCACCTGACACCTCGACGTAGCCATCCTTGGTTTTGACGGTCAGCTCCTCGGGTTTGAAGCTGTGCACGTTGACACACACCTTCCAGGGCTCGCGGGGGAAGGGCGCGGGGCTGCGGCTCTCGGGGTACCCCCCGAAGTGGGCGCCGTAGGCGGGGGCCATGGGGGGCGTGCGGCCCAGGCCGGCGCGCAGGGGGCCCGGCCAGGTGGTGGTGAGCCGGGGCCGAGCCCAGTCGGGCCAGTCCGCCGTCAGGTCCCCGGGGAAGGGCGACAAGCCGAAGTCATCGTCCAGCAGGCGAGAGGTCAGGCCGGGCTCCCGGAAAGGGTCGCGGAGGCTGCGCCTGCCGGGATAATGGCAGGAGAAGGGCATCTGGCTATCGGCCATGGCTTCCTTCGGAGGGGTCTGAGCGTGTCCCCGGGGCTCTCACACGGAGCCTCAGCCTCTGTGCGGCTGCTCCTGGCTGCAAACTTCCCCCGGGAGCCTGTCCCGGAGGAGACGCATCCACCCCGGGTGGGACGCGGGTGCGCGGGGACGGTCCCTCCTTCCCGGCACCAGGTGAAGGACGAGGAGAAAATCAATTCGGGCTGAATCACCGGGAGCTGGAGGAGCGCAGGAAGGACGGAGGGAGCTCTCTGGCCGCGAGAAAACGCTTCCTGTCTGGCTGCGATCCCAGGACTGGGGAGAGGAAAATAAAACTTCTTGTCAGGAGAGAGAGAAAAAAAAATAATAAACCCAAATATCCTGAGATTAAAAAGCTTCTCTCTCACTTCTTACTCTCCAGCACTTTATGTGCAACTTTCCCTGCTGCTCCTGGGTGAGAGCTGCAATAAATGCCTGAGCCTGGAGCCCAGAAACTTCTCTAACCTTCCAGCCGTTGGGCGAGTACTATTTATATGGCTTTCGGAGGAGGGGGGTGTGTGTTTTGCAAGTCCTGCCCTGTCAGCCGAGTATTTTGGAGAGGATGAAACAGCCGAGGAGAATTTGGGCAGTGGCAGCTGACCTCTGCTGAGGATCCCGGCTGCCACGGGGCCACGGCGCTTCGGCAGCTGCCCCAGCCCCTGCCGCCCCCTCCTGCTGCTCCGCCCGCCCAAAATAGCCCCCAAGCTCACTCAGGGCTGGCTGCTTTCACCCCGCTGTCACCTGTTAAAAATACCGCGGTGGGGCTGAGCAGGCTGCTCCCCTCACTGTACAGCCGCGTGTCCCCAGGGCACCGCCGTGCCGGGAAATGGGTCACTGCTGGCACCCCCGGCACTGGGACCCCACGGCTGGGTGTGTGGGGAGTGTTTGGGACAGGGGCACAGGATGAGCCTCTCCACGATGCTTCTCTGGCCATCTTCACCAGCTGGGCCCGGAGAAGCATCCCCGAACTGCAGGAAGGAGATGGACCCCGGGCAGCAGCAGCGCTGCTCAGCACCTGCCTCCTTCTTCTCCTCCTCCTCCTCCTCTTCCTCCTCCTGGCCCCGCCGCATGCCCCGGCCCTGCCGCAATCGCGGTGCGGGCAGGGCGAGGCGTTAATCACAGCCGCGGCCGGGCCCGTAATTACAGGGCAGCGGCGGGAGCGGGCTGCGAGCTGTGGGAAGGGGCGCGGCAGCAGCACTGGAGGGGCAGCTCCCAGCCAGCATCCACCGGGAGACACGGCCCGAGCCCGGCCACAGGCGGGGGAACGGCTGGCACGGCCGGGGTCCCCGTGGAGGCGGCCGGGCACGGCTCCGGTGGGCAGCGGGCCGTGCTGGAGGATGGGATGTGATCGATGAGGGTGACGTTGGCGACGGAGCCACTTCCTCATGCCGCATCCTGGCTCTGCATCATGCTCCTTCTCTCCAGCATCTGCAATTTTTCTAATGGACTCTGTGGAAGTAATTGCAGCAGGAAGGCTTTAATGCAGCACAGGCCGTGCAGGGATGGAGCCGCTGGTGGCTCCATGGCATTAATCAGGCTGGGGACGGGGAGCTGCCTCTCCTTGGCCAGGGCAGGGCTGCCCCCCGAGCATGGGGACACCTGGGCATCACAGGGGTCTCCCTGGGGTCCAAAGGGATGCCTGGAGGTGCCCGAGGAGGTCCCAGGTGCCAGCTGAGTACTCCTGGGGTGGGGAGGCAGCTGCGGGTGGAGGAACTGAGCATCCCCCTCCATTCCCTTGTCCTGCCCGGCTGCCTCTGCCTCGCTGGGGACTCCTGGTGCCCATGGGTGACAGTACTGGGACAGTCCTGGGGGTCACTGCCACACACAGCCTGAGCTCAGCTGGGCACATTTCAGCTTGGCTGGGGAGCAGGATCGCCCCAGCCCCCAGCCCTGCCACCCCTTGGGCAAACAGCAGCGCACGTGTGAGAGGGACAAGCCCTGAGGAGGTTTCAGGCAGTCCCAGGATCCTGCCGTGTTTCCAGGAGCCTCATAACATCCCCCATCCCACATTTCCCACATAGCTCCAGGCCATCCTCCCTCCCCGGCCAGGAATTCTTTCTGTCGCCTTGTTCATCCCCATTAGTCACACGTCCCCTCCTCCCGCCTGCTGTCACCCTCTCTGGGCCATCCCAATTTAGCTCCTGTTGTCATTCCAATCCTCCCGACTGCCTCCCACCCCGAGCCACCCTGCCACATCAGCTCTGGGAAGCTTGAAGTGCCCTTGCAGCCCCCCTTCTCCTCTGAGTGACCTGGGGATGCTGCCCCGTGTCCCCACGACCCACCTGTGCCATGCCCAGACCTTTCCTGGCTGCCCATCTGAGCCCTGTTGAGGAGCACAGGGACATGGCCCAGTGCTGCTGCTCCCCTGGGGGTCTTCCAGGGTGCTGGAGAGTCCCCATTGCTCCTGGCTCCTGCCCAGAAGGTGACAATGGCAAGGACCCTGTGGCATGGGAGCTCTGTGCAGGGCTCGGAGCAAGGGCTGTGCAGGAAGGGAAGGGCACAGCCCCGAGGAGAGCACTGGTGAGCCCAGTGGCACCTCCAGGGACAGATGGACGCGTTTCTGGCTTGGGCTCCCAGTGCCTGAACAGGGTGGGGGGATCCAAAGGGCCTGGCAAAGGGCAGCAGGAGCCTGGCCCAGCAGGAAAGCAGAGCTGCCAGAAATACTAGCCCACATCTTTTTTTTTGCTTCAGCCAGTGCCCTGAGGAGCCAGTCCTCAGCAGCTGGGAGGGGAGGCACATGCCCTTCCCTGCAGAGCAGCTGAAACAACCCGAAATATCCCACCACACGCACTTGTATGCAAAAGGAACATGATGCAAAGGAAATACTGTCCAATCCTTTATTGGAACCTTTTTCTAACCAGGCTAACAACTCAAACACCCAGGAAGACTAAAGGATACAGAACACATGTGGATGGAGAGCAAGGGGAGCTTTACAGTGAACTCAAACAGATGTGCCGGTGTCGGTGGGGGTGGAATCAACCAACAGGCAGAGAACAGAGGCACCATTTCCCTCGTGGCTTTTCTCACATCTGGGCTTTTGTTCTACATCTTCTGCTCATCCCTGGGTTTCAAAGGTGGAGAGCTGCCCTGGGCTGGTGAGCATGTTGTTCTCTAGGCAATAACCCAAAAGCTGGGGTGCTTGACCATGACACTGTTGCTTTGCAGACCCTCCCAGTCATGTGCAAACTGCCAGGTAGCAGCAAAGTCGTGAGAATTATTTAAGTCATGAGAATTATTTATTCTCTGATGAAGAGGTAATAAAACCCCACTGGACACTAAAGGGCAAAGTCTTCCCTTAGGCACCTGAACCTGCCCCTTTCTCAAATACCCCAAGAGTCCCAGGTTGAGCACCCAGCAGCTCTGGGCCACCTCTGTGGGGTCAGCCCAGCACTGGCACTCACTGGCTGGCACTGGAGCTGTGTCCACACTGCAGCAGCTCTGCCCCAGGAGCACAAACACCTCCCCTGGGTGAGCACAGCAGTGGCTGCAGCCTTGGTGGAGCAATGCTGGGGCAGGGTGGGATTTTTAGCACATCTCATTTTAGCTCTTCTCAAAGCTGGGGGAGGATGCCTGCAGCAAGCTCTGCTCATGTTGGACACACAGGGGAGGCCTCCCAGCCCTGCTAGCTACTGAGCTCACATCAGGGAAAAGCTACTGGCACAAAGCCTGGGGAAAGGGGCAAAGCAGGACACAGCACGAGGGTCTCAGGATGGGGCAGGGTGGGCATCCTTCCTTCCTGGTGGAGACCACAGCCAGTCACTTCCATCCTATTCCCTTCCTGATCACTGATCCAAAGGGTGACAAGTGTCCCCAACCTCCAGAGGGAAGAGGGGATGAGCAGTGGGAGATCAGAGAGCTCCAGGGATTTTGGGTGCTGGCAGCCCTATGCCATGTGGCAGAGGAAGAGCAGGGTTATTCCTCCACCAGAGCTGGCCTGTCACCTCTGAATTCCCCACTCCTTTCCAGGGGGATGCCATTTGTCAACAGAAGCTGCTTCAAGGAGATGGAGAGTTTTCCCCTGCCTTGCCCATCTCCATCACAATGAGGTTCCTCTCTAAATACTGGTGGTGAGGTCCAAATGAACCAAATTTGCCTTCCTCTCTCCAACATATCTGGCACCACTTCAAGGGTTCCTGCCTTCATGGACCCAACAGCATCACCCAAATAGCTTTTTTTTAAAGTAATGCTCAATAAATAGAAGAAATAAATATTAAATAGAGGCCAAGTCCTCTCAGCCTGTTCAATATATGTACAATGCATAGCAAAATAACAGTGATTGGCTGTTGCTGACAAGTTTGGTATAAATTCAGTCCCCAAAACAACAAAAACATTGAGAAAATTGCATTTAACATAAAGCAAAGCTCAGCCAGGTGCCGCAACCAATGAAGAAAGAACAGAAGAACAGTGATTTGAAACATCCCTTATCCTTTACTTCCCAGCAAACCTGCAAAAATGGTGTTGGATTTTCTGGAGCATAGGGTTGGGATAGGGGGGACAAACCCAGAGCCAAGGCAGGTCCAGTGAATGGGGAGAGTTGATGGCTCCAGGGTCAAAGGGACATTTGGGAGTGGGTGCTGTGACATGGGCTCTGCCAGGGAAAGGCAGCAGGGGTGCTTGTGGGATGATTCAAAATCATCTGGGAAAGAGCCTTTAAGTGTGGGACAGGGTTCCCAAAAACCAGCCCAGATATTATCCTGATGTTGTGGCCAGCCCTGAACACCCCTTGTGTGCCTGACCACAGCAGCAGTTCACCAACACCAAAATGACCAAGCTGCCTTTCCTCCAGGTGAACCTGCTCTTTGCAGACAGCACCTGCAGCAATCTGAGATGCTGGATGCAGAGCAAAAATCCATAAAAGCAGTGAATGAGAGAAACAACTTAAAAAAATTTTAAAAAGCACTGGCAAAAGGCACAGAGACAGAAAAACTCACAGCTTCACACAAACCCACAGAAACCCCATCTGTCCACTAACAGGAAGGGTGTAC